GGCACGCAGGTCTTCTTCGTATGTCTCCCGGTCGAACAGCCACTGGCGCAATTGTTACGGGCGGATGCCCAAACCTGGGGCAGCTTGGGACTGGGTGTGCACCCCCGTCGATTCGCTCCAGCGGTTGTTAGCGCGGTCCATTGCTCGTGCCTCTTTGGGAGTCGTCGCTGCGGCCCTGGCCTGGTCGGTCCTGTCCTCTCTGGGACATCCTTGATGAGTGCTAGACTTGATGCACTGAAGAATTCTTTGTCGCAACTCGCGCCTCCGTACAACTTCTCAACACAAACACAATGTTGGGGGAGAAGTGGACTCCCGGGCAAAGCTTGGTGGTGTATGAGCAGTTGGAGGCAAAACTAGAACTGAACTACTCACTAACTGACTAAACTAACCCTATACTAACTCTAAGTCTAAATCCCCTTTTGGTTCCACCAATCATCGAAGACTAGACCTGGCCTTTCCTGACCCTACCCCTTCCTGCTCGCACCACACACCGCGCCGCCCGCAGCCGTCCACCGCAGACCGGGCCTGGCCGCCCGAATGGCTCCAGCCAGGCGCGTCGAGTGGGTGCTAGGACTACGGGTATGTCCATCTTGCCAACGCAACACCACCAATGTTATTGGGTCACTCATATCTCCGCTCAATGAACTTCCAAGCTCTTAACTATGTACAAATGACCCTTCTAGATGTAGACCTGACGACATAGCGCTTGACTTCGAAACTACAGTAAACATCCTTTTTAAATCCTTTGGTCGCGGCGTTTCGATGTATTTTGGTCCGGTGTTTCGGTGTTAACGTTAGGCGGACCATTCCCTCGTATTTCAAAGTACATAACGAACCAATCTACATGTTGTGCAGTGGATACAAGACTTCACTTGTAACGTGGATATACCGGGTTCAAGTCCCACGCAACACGTCACTTTTTCTTTCTCACTTATATATTGCCTTTCATCCTACAACACTAGTACAGCTAACCAAGTCCTCACAGTCCTGTCGTGGTCATTGGCACGCGACGAATCAGGTAAGTGAAAACACACTGAGTACAAAACGACATCAAGCAAGGACATGCAGGACTAGTAGGGTCTGAGTGCTTTAATAGTAGTGTAATAGTACGCATCACACCTCAAACGAGATCGTTTGAAACTACTGTATGGTACCTGATTTGAAATAGACCACCCTGACGAATGGTCAAATAGTTTTAGCGATTTGAAGTTTAGAGCCCCCGTATCACCGATAACGTTTGTAGATCTCTGGTGTATGCTTCGTAGTCTAGAATTCAATACTTTCCGCGCAAACTATGGCTAACTTAACAGCTCGACAACGTTATCGATTGGCGCGACCACTTCGTGTAATTCCTTTCGAGACGATATTCTACTTAGTGAAAGGGGGCTGATATGCGGGTGTCGAAAGTTGGGAATTTTTAGGGAAAAATGGCAGGGGGCGCAATTATGCACTACGTAGTAGTAACTTCTAGTTTTGAAATTGATTTGGGGGATACTACAGTCGTAACGTTAGCTGATATCGTTTGAATTGTAGTTGCCTGTCATAACGTTAAAGCCCTGCTTTGCATTCCACGCATTACTTGTGGCTGCTGCTGTTTTGTGCATTGTAAACTACTGCACTCAACTCAATTGAATACAACACTGAATTAAAGTACTTTGAGGAATAAGTAGTAGTGGTTGCATCCAATCCAGCAAAACATCATCTGTAGAGTCCAGTTGGTTGTTGCTACTACTCCGGTGTATTCGCAGCTATTACTTCTACGTAATAACGCCCCCCAAACTTCCGTGTTAAGTGTACAGTGCTTGCAGTGGTGTCGGGCAGGCTAGGATTCAACTTGATGCGGGGGGATCTGTGCAATATTCTACATATTACACTATGTAAGCCAAGAGCAGCCACACGTAATACAGTGTTGCATGTAAAATATTTGTTGGGAAAGGGCTTTATAACAGTGCAAGGGGGAGACTGCATGTTGTATTCAGACATTATCAACTATTCAATCATTGCCACAACTACAAGTAGTGTAGATACATTATAGCGCCCCCCTGTTCCCCCTTCACTATGAACTACTACGTACTGTACCTCTTGTGAACTTACTTTTCGTTCAGAATCTGGAAAATTGTTCAATTCTATGTAGACTATACATGATACCATACCGGTATCGTCGATGAAAACAATGGATGGACTACATAGTACCGATACAGTAAAGTACAGAGACCACCGCCTAATTATCCGTGAAATGGGCGACCGTCAAGGCTATGAACTACAAACGCTTTACCTATCGAACTCCTTCAACTCATGCGAGCTGAGAACCATGCATAATCTCGTTCAGTGTTTGATACAAACCTTAAACTATGTTAGTGAAACATGTCGGTCACCTAGTACATACGTGAGGCCATTAAGTGCCCGCTGAGCGATGTTAACTTTACAGCGTAATACTTCAAGTATCAATATCAATATCGCCTGCTAGTGCGTAGTACAGTACTCGACGAACTCAGTGTCGATTCATTTGCGTTGTACTGGAACTGTACTAGTATTGCGTTTTACCGGTACATCGTTGTTGCTCGAGGGGCACATTGGAAATGAAGAAAAAAGCGACGTTGTACATGGGAATTGAACCCGAAACCTCCACGTTTAAAGTGAAGTATCTAAACAATTCAAACTCCCACCATGGAGCTGAATAGCAACTCGCAGCACCCAACAGAGGACGATACCTTGGACGCCCTTTACGAGGAGCCTGGAGCTTACGCCAGTTCGACACGGAAGTCGTTTGGTTGCAGCGACAACATCACACTCCTGATCGCAGTCAACGACGCCAAGCCCTGGACAGCCTCGTCTGGGTCGCTCATGAAGACATGGACGGACATAGCAAGCGACCTCAAGGCAAACCGACGTTTCAAGGTGGACAAAGACGGGCAAGGCTGCAAGACTCGCTTCGACAAGCTGACAAAGGCGTACATGGAGCGTACTCTTACCGCAATGCGTGGAAGCGGGACGGATGAAGAATTCGGCGAATGCAAGCAACCCTTGGAGGATATTTTGTCACAAGTGAACAACTTCGTGGAGAAGAAGAACGCCCAAGCATCGCTTCTTGTAGCGAAGAAGGACTACAAAAAAAAGAAATAGTGGCAGTGTTACAGGTAATAATAGCAATATACAGTTGTCATACCGTGGATTTCGTCGTTCGAGGCGACATTCCCAATGACTTTCCTGAATGCCACTTTTCCACTATCACGATGAACAAAAACAGGCATGTTGCCCCCTGTTGCGTACCTTACCGGACCACCCAGTGTCCCGAGTCGCAAACACTCACCACAGGACATCCTTAGGGGTGACACCGTGGCCGGCGGCAACGGCTCGGGAAGCTTGGGACAGGCTGGTGTGATCAAGCGGTGACAGGTGACGGACAGTCCATGTATAGTGCGTGTCCGACAGTCCAGTTAGTTTGTATTGGTTAGTTTAGTTAGGGCTAGGTTCCCCGTTGGCCAGGGGAATACTAGTCAGTTCAGAATTTGCTTCCTCGAGATCAATACACGGCGTCAAGTGTTCCTGGGAGTTGCCGCTCCCCCAACATTGTGTTTTGATTTCGTGGATATGCTACAAAGTATACTTTAGTGCTACCGACCTTTGCGGTAGAAATGTGTCTGGAAGAAGCAAGTGAAGAACAATAAGAACCATGGAGCGGCATGGTGGAAGCGAACGTTACGGCGGAAGCCGTTATGGAGGCGACAGCGGCAGAAGCCGTGAACGCGACAGAAGTCGTAACCATGGCCGCAGCCAAGGTCGAGGAGCGACCGCGAACAATCGTTACATGGACCTACCAGTGTGTCCTAACCTCCACTGGATTGCCCAAACTGAAGTTTACCGTTGGCTGATCAAACGCAAGGCGTACGAAGCGCGACTTGAAGATGAGTGCTGTAGGAAGAACATCCAGTTCCGTGAGCATGACAACCTCAACGGTGTACTGGAAGTACCGTTTTGTGCCGACTTTGGAAGTGATGCGAACATCATTTCAGAGGAAATGCTGGAAGCATTGAAGACGAAGACAGAAGTTGACGTGGTTCAACTGGCGAAGACCTGGAAAGGTTACGCCGTGGACGAACAGCCGGTGTATGTAGACGTGGCGGCAAACCTGCGCATCCGTCTGAGCACTGCAGCTGGACCTGTTAACCTACCCGGTGTGCAACTATGCTACGTAATCAGCCGCAGCGACTCATTGCTCGCCTCGCGCCATGCGTTGCAGTCCATTGGGATCGGCATGAATCACTTGTTGGAACAAGTGGCTCAACACCAAAGTCATGAAGACGGTGATGACGTGGGTGAACCCGACGAAAGACATTGCCTTCGGGGTGGCGACTCATCGTTTGCAAGGTGGTGCACAAGACCTCGACAAACTCGATGCAGTGTCACTGTTTGAGAAAGCGTTTGAAACGCTCAAGATAACGGACGCAGGCAAGCACGTTAAGACCCACAACCTTAAGGACATCGTCATGCAGGCCTCAGCCAAGGGCGTTTGGCGCGCACAATTCCGTGGAACGGATGAAGCAGAGAACGTACCAGCGATGGACATCAAGCTCAAGGCCGATGCCCAGCCGCACCGATGTAAGGCCCGCAAGAGTAGTCCTTTAGAGACGAAGTTCCTGGATGCATTTGGAAACCAGCTTGAAGAAGATGGTATTATCTATTCGCACTCTTCGAGTGCATACTGTAGTCCAGTCAACCCGGTGATGAAACCAAGCGGCAAGAAGCTGCTCAAGACAAGTGGTGAATGGACGACAGAAGAACTGCTCCTACACTACCGCCTCACCATCGATTACCGCGTGGTGAACAGCATGATCATTCCAATGGCCGGTGCTATGCCCTTCCAGTTCATGGTGTTGGAATCCGTCAGGGGCGCCCAATTCCTAGGGGTGTTCGACCTTACCAAGGGCTTCTGGCAGTTGCCGCTTGGACCCGCTTCCCTGGGTTCTTTCCTTCATGCTGGCTTTCCGCGTGATGACGCCGACCCGTGTCATGCAAGGCTTCTGCGACAGTGCCCTGTTTTTCCAAAGCACCATGACCGAGTGTTTAAAGACCCTACTCTACAAGAATTGTCTCGTGTGGATCGACGACATTTTAGTCTGGGCCAACACTCTGGAAGAGTACTTGGCAGTTCTGGAAGAACTCATTGCCATCTGTGTACGATACTGACTACGGCTGAACCCTCGGAAGAGCACCCTCGTCATCGAAAAGGAAGGCTATCCCATCGCTCGTGCATGCGACTCGTTGAAATACTACTGAGGCCCTTGGGATTCCGCATGTACTGCGACCAAAGAACCTCATTCACGTTTTTTTCCCCCGACAAGGAAGTCAAGGCGCACACACGGGAGAAGCTACTGCGTTGGGCCGACCTCATCGGCCAATACCGCTGCGTGATCGAGCACATCGACGGCGTGCACAATCTGTGGGCTGATCTACTCAGCCGGGGGGGACAACCCGCGCCACTGAGGACACAAATGTGCTCCGCCTACGGTCAGGCCAAATAAAATCCGTGTCGTCCAACGGGCGGATCTTCGCCTGCGGCAACTTGTATACCATTCTTGGCTTGTGGCGCTTCTTGCGCTTCGTCCATTTCTTCAACTGTCGTACGTGCTTTCTACGCTTCTGGCGTGTCCATACGATGCTGGCAAAGATCGGGACCTGGAGTCAATCATTCAAGCCCAGAAGGCTGTGGCGGCACCACCAACCGCTATCATGCAAGACAACAGCGTCCTCTACCTGCGTGAACGCATCTGGATACCCGACGATGCCCACGACCTGCTCACAAGGCTGTTCATCGATGGGACATCGCGGACATCATGCCATGGCCAGCCACATCCATCAACTGTTTACCATCTCGCATTTCGATGAGAAACTCGCGGTATTCCTCCGGTCGTGCCTGTTGTGCCCGCATATTCGGGGTGGGAAGATCATCCAATGGCCTCATGGGAATACGTGGTCAGCAACACGGCGCAACCAAGGACTGCACTTCGACTACCTATTTATGGGTGAAACCTGGAAAGGTTCCAAGTATGTGTTGGTCTTGAAAGACGACCTTACGCACTTCGTAAGGCTCATTGCCTGCGACAGTCCGACAAGTCAAGTTGCGGTGGTTGCAATTATAGACTGGTCGGCCATGTTCGGAGTACCAGAAGTGTGGATCTCCGACGGTGGCAGCCACTTCAAGAACAACATCATGAAGGCGTTAGCACACCGCCTCAAAGTCCAGCACAACATTGTCCTGGCCTACTGTCCGTGGAGAAACGGAACGGTTGAGCGAGTGAATCGCGATATACTGGCAGTCATGCGAGTCATGTTGGCCGAAAGCCGGGTAGCCGAGACCGAGTGGGACTACCTACTGCCCGTAGTGCATGCGAACTTGAACCAGACGCCAACTGAATCTCTGGATGGTGCGTCTCGCATGTGTGCTTACACTGGATTAGATCCTACTACGCCCCTCCACGTCATCGCCGGAAGCGTCAACAGGAAGTTGATCGTGGATGGATTGACCGAAGTCAATGGGAATGACCCAACATCAGAACTGCGATGAGTGCCCTACGACGCAGTCTCCGAGAGATTTACTCCAAGACCCTCTACCTCAAGCACGAGGCACAGAACCGGCGGATCCTCAACAAGACCAACTCGACAGCGTTCGAAGTTATGGAAGGCGACTACGTGCTGTGGTCAAGGGTTGATAAAACCTCGCATTACCCGAAGCTATCCGTCACATACATTGGACCCTTCCGAGTCAAGGAATGCTTGCCGTACTCATGCCTGATTGAACACGTCATCAACGGAAACGAGCGGGAAACTCATCACTCAAGCATGAAATTTTACTTAGCCTAGTACGTCGACCTCACGGAGGAAATGCTCGATCACCGAAGCAACCAGAGCGTTGTACTGACCGTCGACGCGATTCAAGCTGCCCGACTCAACCCCGGGACTGCTGGGAGCTTCTAGTACATTGGAAAGGCCTTGAAGAACAACATCGAGCTCTGCTCGAGGCCCCCGCACCACTGTAGTTACCTGGCACAGAAGTGTTGCGCCCAATGGCATCCATACTCAGGGTGCGTCTGCTGAACCTGGTCTTAGTGTTCAGTACCTTACCGGACCACCCAGGGTCCCGAGTCGCAAACACTCACCACAGGACATCCTTAGGGGTGCCACCGTGGCCGGCGGCAACGGCTCGGGAAGCTTGGGACAGGCTGGTGTGATCAAACGGTGACAGGTGACGGACAGTCCAGTATAGTGCGTGTCAGACAGTCCAGTTAGTTTTCATTGGTTAGTTTAGTTAGGGCTAGGTTCCACGTTGGCCAGGGGAATACTAGTCAGTTCAGAATTTGCTTCCTCGAAATCAATACACGGCGCCAAGTGTTCCTGGGAGTTGCCGCTCCCCCAACATTGTGTTTTGATTTCGTGGATACGCCACACACCCCAAGAATGATACGCTTCAGCATTCCTGGTTTACTACTATGTATACTTGCACTTGACCGCCAATATATCCATCGAAGGGTAATGGTAACATTAACGGTGCTTCGAGTAGGGTAAGCACCGTTAACGTTACCATTACCAATCGATGGATATACTGTCCAATCAGTTCACTTCTGCATGGCTGTTGTATCGGTTGATTCAACTTTGCTATTTCTATGTTTCCACCGTAAACACATGTCACGCATAGTTGTTATAGCGAGCTGCTTCTGCACACTACTGTACATGTATGCATGTAGGACTCTTTGCCATTGTTCGATACTCTGTTGCCTGAAAGCAAGATAAACGTGGAACTCTCGGTAGGTGTTATATGCACGGTGCTCCGCCCTCTCGCTTCAAAATCCGCCCCCCATTACATTCTAGTAGTTCGTCTTCCGAGTGGTCAGACCTAACCACTGACTATGTACAACTCACAAAGTACCGGTATCGGTACCTAGTATCTGGTGACTCTCCCCACACATGCGACACTGCAGCGGGCACTACTGCCACAGTTCATTTTCCGATTTGAATCATGCACGTCACACCACCTCCATCTAGCCACACGTTCGACAACAACAACGACCATGAAGTCGCCCCCTTCCTGCGCACTCTGCGGACGATCTTGACCTTTGAAAGCGATGACATCATTCGATGGACACCCGATGGCCTGGCGTTCGAGGTCGTCGACATGGAAGCGCTGACGTCCGCCGTGCTGCCGCACTACTTCAAGCACAACAAATACTCGAGTTTCCAGCGCCAGCTCAACTACGTCCACTTCAAGAAGTGGACCAAGAGCCTGGTGCACGTGTGCACGTTCTCCAACACCCACTTTACGAGGGACGATCCCCTCTTGAGCCTGTGCATCACAAGGAAGCGATCCCGCAAGGACAGCTCACATTCCATCAAATTAGCTAGCATCGAACCACCCTCCTCGTCTCTACTGATTGACGATTCAATCGAAGACCTTCTCACTGAAGCCGACTTGGAGGAGCTCGTTCATTTTGAACTGATGGGTGAACCATATGGTGCTGTAGACCCCATCTCGCCAATACACGATGGTCTAGTCGTGGAGTTGTAATCGGTAGAGGTGGGGATAATTTAAATACATGTAGATCGATGAAATTGGAGTAAACCAGAGCACCGTGTAGCATGTCAATGTCATTTTGTTAGTACTTACTAGTACGACAGTATTTCGATCTGAATGTCGATGTGGATGACGGTGCTGCCAGTTTGGACGAGCGAGTGGAACGCACATGGTTATTAAAATTTCTACAAATACAGAGCTACTATGGCGCTACTATGGCGCTTATGGCGCTGGAGACCCCATCTCGTCAATGCACGATGGTCTGGCAGTCGTGGAGTTGTAATCGGTAGAGGTGGGGATAAATTAAATAGATCGATGAAATTGGAGTAAACCAGTGCACCGTGTAGCATGTCAATGTCATTTTGTTAGTACTTACTTCCTCCATTCCGTAAAGGTGGAGACATATAATTCCCAGATGCCTATTTCTGGCAAAATGAAGCAATTCTGGATGAAATTTCATGGAAAGGTAGCCAATCACGAGACGAATACGAGACTATTTTCAGATTTTTTTAATTCTTCCTCCTCGCTTCACAACCAAGAATCAAAACTCCACTTCAAGGCCAACCAATCTATAAATACCCGTAACTCAGTCATTTCTCATCCGATTGAGCTGAAATCAAGCGCAAACGACTCGTCTCGTTGCGTAGATATTGCTAGCGCCCCTCAGAACCCCGAAAAAAGTTCTGGAAGTGGAGTTACCGTTCAGACGCCATGACGCGCGCCACGACCAAGCACGACCTACCCAACGATCAACGGCTCGGTTTGTACCACGAGCTCTTGGTGCACAAGGTTAACGGCCGCTTGCCCAAGGGCAAGGCAGAGGAGCTTCTGGCGCAGTATGGAGTCTCAAGGCAGACATTGTCCAAGATCTGGCGACGCGGCCAGAGGTCGAAAGCACGAAATGGCCTCGCAGACGTAGCACTGAAGAAGAAAGGGCGCTGTGGACGACGCCCGTTGCGCACCATGTCCGACATCGAGACCGCCATAAAGAGTGTCCCGCCGGTCCTGCGGAGAACGTTTGAGTCCTTGGCGGTGTCAAGCGGCATTCCAAGAACAACGCTTTGGCGGGTCCTTCAGACAAAGAAGCTTCAGCGTCGAACCAGCCGCCTCAAGCCAATGGTCACGGAGAAGCACAAGGCGGACCGTTTAGCCTTTGCCAGGTCGTTCGTTCATGGCACCTCGTGCAATGGAATGGTTTGGCACGACATGTACGATCGAGTCCATATCGACGAGAAGTGGTTCTACCTCACGGAGGTCAACCGGCGGTACTATCTCTGGCACGACGAGTCAACCCCGGTCCGCAAGTGCAACTCCAAGCGACACATCATCAAGGTGATGTTTCTGACGGCCGTGGCAAGACCGCGGTTTGACTACGCCCGCAAGACAATGTGGGACGGCAAGGTCGGCATGTGGCCCTTCGTGGCTGTTCGTCCAGCGCAGCGAAAAAGCAAGAACAGGGCGCGTGGCGCCTTGATCACCACCCCAATTGTCGTGACGAAGCCTTTGTACCGCCAGTACCTCTTGGATCACGTCATTCCAACCATCAAGCAAGCCTGGCCAGGCCCTCGAGCTCACCCGATCTACATTCAGCAAGACAACGCGCGCCCCCACGTCGAAGTAGATGACGCCGCTGTGACAGCCGCTGGCTGTTCGGATGGTTGGAAGATTCAGCTTGTTGCCCAGCCAGCCATGAGTCCGGACTTCAATGTCCTCGACCTAGGCTTTTTCAATTCGATCCAAGCCCTCCAACACCGGAAGGCGGTTACCAGCATCGACGAGTTAGTGGCAGCGGTTCATGAGTCCTTCTCTGATTTGGACTGGCGGGTTCTTGACAAGACCTTCGTCACCCTTCAAAAGGTATTGGG